TACAGTAGAACCTCGATTATCCGGACTAATTGGGGATGAAGGTAGTCCGGATAAGGGAAAATCCGGATAATCGAAACAAATACTTTAATTTGTCTTTTAATGATAATACAACACGTTTTCTGTTTGATGACATATCGGTAATATTAAAAGCAAATGCTGTATTTAAATTGTGATCAAATTTTCAAGAAACAAACGTTCATATCGAATTTGGGATACTACTGACCAACGCTAACAGACTATATTGTTTAAAAGGCCCTTTGGTGGCGCAAGAAGACAGATTTTATAAAATAAAAAGCAGTCGAAACTGCATTTTTATGAATAAAAATTTGACAAACTATTTATCGTTTTATGACGAGTAAAATTTTTTCGTCGCGTTCGCGGCTTTTAAGTAATGCATAAACCTTCGAGGCGCGAGGCCCTTCGGACCGCGAGGCATAGGCGGTGGCCCACGTCGTCCATGCCTTACGCCGCCCTTGGTCATAGAAATGATGTAATTTGAATATAAATTATTTATAAATACGTATGTCAAGTTATATTTTTATTACTACGTAAAATATATTTAAGAGTTTACGACCACTGTGCTGGGTGAGACGTTGTTGAAACAAAAAAAGTTATGCATTCCATCACGTACATAAACAGTGTCGTAATTCGCCAAGTGCAAATCAGCAAATTCGTAAAATTTTTGTTTATTTTGAACAATCCGGATAATCAAAAATCCGGATAATGGAGGTTCTACTGTACTTTTATTTCTATGTTTGACATTGCTACGTTAGTTTTTGTTTTTATTATTTCCTGTATTCTGTTATACACTTCTACAAATAATCATATATTATATATTACAGAAGTTTGTTATTCTGGTACCAGTGGGGTCACTAATGCCAGATTACTGAGAATGTCTGCAAAAGCCAAATTAATTATATGCAATCTAAACATTGCAGAAATATTGCTTGGCAAAAGAAAAAGAACATTGTTTAGTGATTGTGGCATTAACATGTTTTAGACTTCAGAAAGCACCAGTGAAAGCCTTTAACTTGGAACAAACTAGGTGTAACAAAATAATTTTTTTTGATCATATTGCTTTCAATTCTATTTGGTCAACTTTCCAATGTATAGCGATGTGCACAGTTGTATTCTCTTATTTTTGCCTTGATTTCTGCCCAAGATCTGTAGCCTACTAAGCAGGGCTGCGGAGTCGGAGTTGTGGAGTTTTGGTGTTTTAGTCGGAGTTGGAGTTGGATGGTAAGGAAAAGTCGGAGTTGGAGTCGGTAGATTTTTACGCGATTCCACAGCCCTGCTACTAAGGATAATGGAGACCCCCACATCAAAGTATTCTCAATGTTTTTTAGCATACTATGTGCTCAAACAAATACTGGTTTGCAAAATATTAGCATGCTGGATTGGCAGACAATTCCAGATTATCAGATGCTTTTCAGAGGGTGCCAGGTTAGGTGCTAGACATTCTAAATTATTGGGTGGTGGATAAATAATACATTAGAAGTTAATCAATATGAAGAAAACATTTCCATTTATATTCATTATCATAGGTTTTTTTGAATAAAAGAACAATTGTTTATTTTTATAATTTTTACTTTATGTACTAAAGTTTTTTTATGTGCAAAGGCTGATCATTTCATTTGTGAAATATTACAAAATTTTTCCTTATTGTAATCTTCTCATTTGAAGATTTGTCCTGCTTGAAATCTTTTTCCTTGACCTGTACACATCTTTGTCATCACCAAATCTGTTTTCATACATTTTGTAGAATTATTTTTGGAGAAATGCCAGTTTTCATTGTGGATCTGGATACTTCATCAGATATGAATGAAGCGTTTGTCCTTCAGTGTTTTCTTTAGTCATGGAACCAAAAAGAAATCACATAGGGCTAAATCTAGTGAATGTAGATAATATAGCAAGATTTCAGCTTTAATTGTAATACTAGCTGCACCATATTGGCAGCATATGCTGTAGCATTGTCATGAAGAAATCACTTTACAATAGCAAATGTTAGGCATTTGTCATAAATGTTGCATTGAAGTTTTATTCTAAGAATCTTACAAGGAGAATGTCAAACATTTGGGTTTTCAATTCAAATGAAACTTGGCAAGCATGTAGCCCTAAACACAAATAACTCCTTGTCTAAATAACAGGACTCGCTTCTCAAATGTTTTGAAAAAATGGGCCTCTGAAAATTGAGTGTTTGACTTATAAGTCTTTCGAAGCTTCACTTCTTGTAGTTGTGACAGCCGAGTGCATAAGACATTAAACACAAAAACTACATGATGTAGGCTTAAGTCTTCACATTTTTTTAAAAAAAATGTGTAACAAAATTATTTTATTATTTTACTGTATTATTAGCATTTTTATTAGCATTTTTACTACTATTATTACTATTATCATTAGCATTTTTATACTGTATCATTGTTATTCCTCATCTTTAGAGCTTATAAAAGAGATTTAAAAAGCGATCTCATTTCCTGTTTAGCAAAAACAAAATCTCTGTAGATTTAACTCTTGCATGTCATTAAATAAAATTTTTATTTCTTTATATTATAGTTCTTTTTATTTTCAGATATGGTGGTATTGCTGTATTTGAAGTGTAACAAACATGAATGCATGAGGAAATTGTCCATAGCATTAACAATTAGCATAGTGTGTTTAACCTATTTTCATATCAGACTTGTCTGTTTTGTTCATCTGCAGTAAATTTCTGAAGCTTATTTGCTTATATAATCAGGAGCAAAAATATGTAAAAATAAATATGAAGAAATAAAAATTTTATTTAATGATATACAAGATGAGATTATAAAATTTTACAATATACAAGAGTTAAATCTACAGAATCTTTCTTTTACTAAACAGAATATGGCATCATGTTTTTTAATCTCTTGTGTTATAAGTTTTAAACATGAGGAATAATAATAGTAACAATAATGCTAATGATATGTTAAAATAGTAATTTTGTTACACATTAAAAAAATAAAAAATTAAAAATGCGAAGACTTGCACCTATCTTGTGTAGTTCCTGTGTGTAATGCCTTATGCACTTGGTCATTGCAATTATTAGGTAGAGTGAAGCTTCCAAAGACTTATAAGCTAAACATTCAATTTTCAGAGGCCCATTTTTCAGAAACACTTAAGAAATGGGCACTATTATTTAGACAAGGAGCTGTTTGTGTTTGAATCTGAGACTCGAATGTCTGGTCCTCTCCTTGTTAGCATTTGCTTTCGTATTTAGAGTTGTTTGTCAGGATACAAAAGGTAAAAATACACATTTGCATTTCAAAAAATTGCCAATGACAAAACTATTAATAAAACATATATAAATAAAATTGAGATCAGCACTTCTGGTAGCTAGTGATAAGACTTCAGAGAAGGTGCAGCAAATATATTTTTCCAGAAATTTATTCAAAAGAGAAAGATGGAAACAGTTTTGCAAATTAAATTGATCAGTCCTTGTATGTACAATAGGTGCTTGTAGATCTCAAAAATGCAGCTGTAATCAGACAATCTCAGCATGCCAGCTAACTCAGAACTCTGGAAACATTGGAAATTCACATATATGAAATTAAAGGCAGGTGCTTAAACTTCAAGGAGGATAAAAGTTTGCTATATGCCTGGTAGTGCTTTTATGATAAATTAGGGTAATACATTATACTTTAATTTGCAAATTTAGTAATTTTTAATTTTTTGCAATTGTTGGTTAATATTAAAAATTTTTTAACATAATAATAATCTTTTTGTTTAATAGTACAATTTATTGTAAAAGTTAAGGCAATTTACAGTAGAACCTCGATTATCCGGACTAATTGGGGATGAAGGCAGTCCGGATATGGGAAAATCCGGATAATCGAAACAAATACTTTAATTTGTCTTTTAATGATAATACAACACGTTTTCTGTTCGATGACATATCGGTAATATTAAAAGCAAATGCTGTATTTAAATTGTGATCAAATTTTCAAGAAACAAACGTTCGTATCGAATTGTTTCATTTATTAAGTTAAAAATAATTATAACTTGTAATAATTAATAACTTGAATATTNAGTTTTTAATATAGTACAGAAAAAAGTAATCTAAATTTACGAATGCATGTAATGTAAATACAGTACATACTTGTAAATGTATATATTTTAATATAATTTTATGTGCTTTAAACGCTTTTCTAGTGATATTACGACTTCAATATTTGTGACAGACAGACATAAAGTTGAATAAAATGACTTGAACTTGATTTTTATTTTTCCATATACTTTCTTGACAAACGACATATAATCGGGAATGATGTAACTCAAAACAACGTAAGTCGAGGTATACCTGTATAGGACATATCAAAATTAAAAGCATAATTAAAAATCACGGTTTTCCTGCAAGTAACATTAACAATTTGATTTTATAATAATCCCTCATCTGGATCAATATCTTAACCACACTAAAGCTTTCAAGATGACAAAGAGACACTCATTTGACAAAAAAGTTGGATATCAAAAAAGGAGGCATTGGAATTAAGTGAAACTTTATTAGTATTAAGATGATAATGGTAATATGTGATTAAAATATCAAATCAAATGGATAATTTTCTGTGGAAAAATGGTAATTTAAAGCAACTTTTACCATGTAAGACCTCTTCTTGCTTAAATGCATGTAATAATACATATGGTCCTACAAATGTTCAGTGGGTGACAAATCTAGAGAGTGGGCAGGTCAAAGAAGTGTAGCAATATGGCAAAGACATTCCTGATAAACCCTAGCTTTATGTAGCTGAGCATTATTTTGCTGGAAAATGGCTGTTTGCAGTCTTGTCATGTTAGACAAGGAATGATGACACAAGTTACCTGAATATACCATTGTAGTGTCAATGTCTCTTGTTCTGCTACTAGGAGTGATTGACTATCATAAGAGATGGAATACTAGACCAGCACTCTATTAGCACCTTTACTGCTGAGAAACATTATTTTGCTAGTATGTTTCTCAGCAGTAAAAGTGGGATTGAAACACTCTCCATATACTAACACAGTAGTTATCTATTCCCAAACAAAATCAGGGAATTTATTACTAAAGATAAAAAAATATTGCCAGTTGCTAATACTTCATCTTTCTCTGCCATTAGCACTGAACATTGGATGCTAATGTGGCAAGATGAGTAGTGGTTGCCTCTGCTATTTATCTGCCAATAGGAAAGGAAGAGATAGGATTCTGTAGCACACTTGTCTTTGGATAGCAGACAAAGTGTTGCAGCTGTTTGTACCACAGTATATGTGCTCCCTCATGTATCAACTGCCACTTCACAGTCAGATCAGAACAACTTAGATGGCAAGTAATTCAGCAAAATGGCCATTCTGCTTACCTCAGCCCAATGATGTAGCCTTTCTCAAACTTTGTCAACTGTGTGTAATATCTTTGACTTCATTGCACAGGCATGAAGACCTCCAAACACTAAATATGCTAATTTTAAGGCATCTGGTAGCATCATCTGGTATACAATCAGACTAAAGTTTTAATCATTGACTTGACTTGAATGTTTAGTTTTGCAATAATCAGACAATTCTGTCAGGATATAAGATTTTTTTTGTATGATACTCATGAAAAAATCAAATAATGAAATTTATGGTGAATAAAATTTATTGTATTTTTCTAGAGCTACTTGTGGCAACTTCTTCAAGGTATTGCTTATTGTCATTCACATAGAGTACTACATCGAGACCTTAAACCACAGAATTTGTTAATAGATATAGAAGGAAACATAAAATTAGCTGATTTTGGATTGGCTCGTGCTTTTGGAGTGCCACTTCGTTCATATACGCATGAGGTATTTGTAAAGTTAATCTTATGATATTAAATACATAAATTGCTTTAATGGTGCACAAAATAATAAAAGGAATTAATTTAAAAGAAATGAACAAAAAATCAAACTATTTAATATTAAATGCTAATGGCTTAATCTTCAAAACACATTAGAAAGTCTTTCAAATGCATTCTTGAAGATAAATGTTTTCTTAGTTTGTTTATTTTTATGCTCCATTAAAGTAGTTCCTATTTATTTGCATCTTTAGAATTGTTTTGGAGTTTTATTGTTGTTGAAGATTATACCAGGTAATTAATTATACTTATGACAATTAATAAATGTAATGATGAGTAGGGTAATTTGATGATGATTAATTAATCATCATATCGTCTGTTGACGAGTTTCATGATTAAGAATTACTTAATTTAAACTTCAAGCTGTCTTTAACAGTCTAAAAATAATTCATAAGAATTTATTTTTTAATTTTAAACAAACAATACGATTTACAAAAATAATGCTTGGAAATTTGAAAAAATTGTTTGGCATAAAATTTCAATTTAAAATGCTCTTCAAATATTTAGTATAATTTCTGATAAATAAAAAATAACAACTGATATGTTAGTATACCAGATGGGAAGAGTTTTTCTTTAAACTTTCAAATAATTAATAGCTTTATGTAATTTGAAGATGGATTAATGTTTGATGAATTTTTCCTCCACATCTCTTGTCAGATTGCTGATTAATCATAAATTATTTAATTCTCTATTCATGGTATTCTAAATATTTTTATCTAACAAGAACAAGATTTATTAAGAAGAGATGTCAATAAGCAATATTGCAATTCTAGCCAAACTTACATCCTCTAGTGACAAATTCTAATTATCATATAGAAGTAACCTGTGCTTTAAGTATTTAGAATGGCCCAAAAAGGTTCCAAAGACTCTTATTGCTAGAAAATATTTTTATAATGCTTTATATTTATGAAATGTAAATATTGTAGTATTGCACTGTGTGATGATCATTTTAAAATAAATTATTCAAAAGATTCCTCAAGCAATTTCAGTATCAGTGCAACTTAATTCATTCAGAGATTCTGATGATAGGCAACTTCATATAAGGTGGTGTTAAGTTCATATAAAATCTTGTATGGTACAAAATTATGTTGTACAGAACTAAATACTAGAAGTGGGCTACTTTCCAAAAACTAACAAAAATCTGTCAAATTTGTAGAATTTCCTGCAGCAATAATAATTAAAATTTTTTTACTTTTCTTTATGGTGTGGATTGTTGCATAGTTTAAACTTGAATTTGTATTTATTCTGGTGATAATGTTTCATATGTACAGTACAGTACATGTAAATATACTAAATGAATAATACAAATTCATGCAAAATGTGAAAAATAAAGAACAAAATAGATACAACAGATACACCAGTGTGACATGTAGAAGAGTAAATAAGTCTTAATTTAAATTAAAATTTGTCCTGTTTCCAGGAATCTTTAAAATATGCCTGTTGAAGCAATATCTAATAATGACAAAAGTGCAGGGCCACTCATATTTGAATCAGTTAATTTTATTCATTTATTATAAAATAAAGCAAATGTTTTGATCTGCTGATCTATCCAATTGGGTGTCTTCTACTTGATATTTCTTGTTTCCTCTTTTGGAACTTGGTTGATATCAGCTACAATTTTTTTCAAAATATTCTATTGTTCACAGCCTCTGATTCTCCAAAATGTTGTCTGATGCAACATGGGAAATACCATCATTACTTTGTTTTCTTGTCTGCTATTGGTTCATTGCATTTTTGCTCCTTTGCTTCTAATTTATGTCTGTTTGGTCCAATACTTATGTTTACATAGGTCAAATACTTAATGTTTACATAGTTTGCAAAGTGAGAAAGTAAGCCAATTTTCTTCAAATATTGCACTATTTGTCTTGCTTCATACTGAACCACAGCATCATCATATGTCCATTTTTTTGTAATTGAGAAATTATGTTCTTTTCCATCAACACTTCAGAATTAGCATGAATTAAATATAAATATTTTATCTGTATTTAATATAACTAATGAATTGCCTGATAGAAGAATAATTGTGTGAATGAATTGACTGAGAGGAACAAGTATAACAAATACTGTACTGTATCTGTTGCCTATAGCTTTAAAATTCCTTTTGCCATATGGATACTAAGAAGGCCTGCATTCCACACTATCATTGGTTCCTCAGGCTCATAATGGGATGACTGGATGGTGAGAGATAGGATGTGGGATCCAAACCATCCAGAAAGATATCCTATTTTTCATGGGAGGTTTGCACTATATTATAACCTTGATCAGCAGTCCCCAACCTTTTTATTGCCGCGGACTGGTCAACATTTGATATTTTACCGTGGCCCACTGAGGGGGGACGTTGATTGTTTATATTTTAGATTGATTTAATTTAATAATTTTAATTTAATTGTATTTAAACATGCCTTCAAAATAAAATATAGTTACACCAAAAAATGAATATAATGTGATTTAACATTTTAACTCACTAGAACGTTAAATCAATGAGAATCCTGAGCTTATTTCTTTGCAACAAGACAGTTCCATCTGGGGATAATAGGAGACAATAACACCCGAAGTGTGTTTCTTATGTCCAGTTTATTCCGTTGTTCCGTCATCCATTAAAAGTCGCACAAACCCGAGAGAAATACACCATAGTGAATAAAATAGAAATACCAGTAATTTAATGTTCCTTGTGCGTCCCATTACCATTTGATCCTTGGGCCGGTACCAGTCCACAGCCCGGGAGTTGGGGACCACTGACCTTGATCATCCAGCAGTCCAAACAAGACTTGATTAGCTGCACATTAGTGTTGTGCAAAATGATTTATTTAAATGTTTTGAAACATTCAAATTATCTCAGTAAAATGTGTCAATTCACTTTCAATATGTGACTCAGTTGAGACTCAAAACTTATTGTTCTCAAAGATATAACCAACGATCACCTTGAATGACTGGGCTAGAATTTGGCTAATTTAAATAATTAATATAAAGCAATTTGTCACTAGAGGGAGCATTAGGTGCCATCTCTTGATTAAATTTCTTGCGGTCCAGGAGCCGCAACAGGTAAGCGCACTGCACAGCAAGCAGAGGCTGTGGGTTCAAGTTCAGTCCTGGGAGAGTTCTTTTATTCCAGAAGGTTCTAAATTATTATTTAATAAATTATTATAATTATTAATTTAATCAAGAGATGGCACCTAATGCCTTCCTCTAGTGACAAATTGCTTTATATTAATTATTTAATTAGTCAAATTCTAGCCTGATCATTAAAGGTGATCGTTGTATCTTTATAAACTTATCGAGCTTAAGCATGTCTATTATATTATGATTCTCAATAATGTGTTGGAAATATTTGGTTTGATGTTGTTTCTAGATTTGTAATTTAGATTAAAAGTAAAGTTTGCAAATTGGTGATGATTAAATCAGTAGATTAAATAATTATATAATAGATAAAATGAAAATATAGGTATAAAGAAAACAAAGATAATCAAATAGCATCCTGATATACAAACAACAGCCTAATTTTTGATTTTATATATACAGTATATAAATTATTTCTGTAGTTTGCCTAAAAAATATTAAACACACTCTAATTTGTAACGCTTCTGCACAAATTGTTCCTTCTCTTCCTTTTGAGAATTTTCCTTTTTCTTTTTTCTCTTTTCTCTTCTTGCCTTTCCTTTTGATTACTCATTAACTCTATTATCCTATCTTTCCATTTTGTTTTGTGTGTCCCCTTCTTTTCAGCAATCCAGTGAAGAATTGACAACTGGATTGGCTGGAAGGAGCCACATGTGTAGGGGAGGGATTGCCTCTATAAAAGGATATAAAAACTAGTGAGGATATGAGAGAAGGACCTTTTTTCTTTTTTGTCCTCTGTCTTGGTTGTGATGGCTGGTGCTCGCCAGTATGAAAGGGGACAAGCATCAGGACTAGAGGTGGTCTGAAGAACATTCAGAAATTTCATGAGAAACTCTTAATTGGCTCAATCTATTCCCATTGAACTGTGTAGAATAAAAAAAATTCAAGATGATTTATCATGGATGTGTATACCAGCCAGATCTGTTGAAAAGAAAAATATTGTCCTCAAACAAGTGAGTGAAACTGAGGTAATCCTAATGTTGTATATTCTTTGGATTTGACCTTTTTTTCTTCCATATTAACCTATACTTCTGTTCTCATTAATTAAAAGTGCATGCCTATCTTGAAATAAGTATGTAAAAAAAAAAAATGTATATTGTCAGTGATGAAACACGTATCCAGATAGTTTGATCCCATGAGTTAATAAACCTAAGAATTGGAATGTAATTGTGAAGAATTGCAAGAATTACCTCAAATTGATTAGTAAAGTCATTGTTTAATCTGACTATTCTTTGTTACACTAGTTCCTTACAACCACATGTTACGGGATACTACAAATTATAGCTGCATTGACCATTACACAACAGTCAGAAAGACTGTATGGTAGGGCAGTAGAATATTTACTAATTTTTTTTAATATTTATACTCCTTTAATTTTGACAGGCAGCAAACTGGATATATATCTTATATAGTTTTTACTTCCTTATTTTAATTTTTTCAGATATCTCGCACACTTGAGATTCAGTCCAGAATAAAAAACATATATACTTTTTATTTTACTTTTATTTATTTTTGAAACACATTATTATAACAAATGAAGATGGTTACATTATAAGTAGTAATATGATACAATTGATGATTTTCTTTTTTTAATATCAGATCAATGAATCAATGGTTGTTAGAAATTATAATTTACAATTTAAAAAAAATTGTTTCTACACTTTGATTCTAGGTTGTAACTTTATGGTATCGTGCTCCAGAAATTCTTCTTGGAACTAAGTTCTATTCTACTTCAGTAGATGTATGGAGTATTGGATGCATATTTGCTGAAATGGTAATTAATAATAATTTTTAAAAGTTACTATTATTTAAAAAATGAGTGTTTTTTTTTTTTTTTTTTAATTCATTAAGCTGACTCGTAGAGCTCTATTTCCTGGCGATTCTGAAATTGACCAGTTATTTCGTGTCTTTCGAACACTTGGCACGCCAGATGATAGAATTTGGCCTGGTGTTAGTCATTTACCAGATTATAAATCATCATTTCCAAAGTGGACTGCTCAAGACATTGGAAAATTTGTGCCTTGTTTAGACCGTGAAGGACAAGATTTACTTCTAGTAAGTTTTTTGTTAAGACATAATTTTGAAATAATAGTTTTTTTTTATATATTTGAATTTTTCTTTAGATAACCAAACTATTGTATGTACTGCACCATACATTTTAACATAGAATTCTAATTACTAATGTCATCATTGCAGTTTGAATATTACTCCATGAAAGGAAACAAATATGAACCAATTAATTAATGCTTATAGTTATTTAAATATTATTTTATTAATATTAGTCTATTGTGACTACATAATCTATTAGTAGGATTTATTATCAGTTGCAAATAAAGAAAGTTTATTCTTTTGAACCAGTAGACTAATTCAATTTCTCTAGTTTTATCTAAAAGTTAAATCAGTTTAATAAGTCCTACTAATAGATTATAGTCACAATAGACTAACATTTAATAAAATATCAATATTTGATTGTTGTCATTACAATCTTTTTCATGATTCAGATATAGCAATAGATTAATTCAGTATGAGGTAAGGAAAATTTGAAATGCTATTGAAAATTTAAGAATACTTATATAAGAAAATTTAAATCTGTATGAAAAATATAGTTTCAAATTCACATAACTAATGTATAATGAAAAATGGAGAAAACCGACCCCTCCTGTGAAGATCTTACAAGGTCATTTTCCACAAATTTGACAATATTCCCCCTGTAATCCCTACCACAGCATTCCAACCTTCGCAATATGTCAATGCGGCCATAGCTTCTCTTATCAGAAAGGCTTTCCTAATACTCTCTACTCAAGTTATTACCAATATTGAGCTTGATTCTATCCATTCAGCAGTGTGTGCAGCAGGCTATAGCATTGCCAAGTACAACCACGTCCTAAACAGGGTCAAAAGGTCACTCTTCCCTGTGGTGAAAGGACCCTAGTATTTATTTGGGAGTCTCTCTTCACCACATTATTGGCCCCATGCAACTTCCCCACCCTCAAATTGCCTGACATTTGGATCAATTTGTACAAGCATACAAAAAATACTAACTGACTGCTTGTCTCCACTTTCTCTACATTTTTCTATGTGGTTGTCTCCACATCTCTAAGTGCATGCACATAGATACTGTGTGATTTTTTAAAAATGTTTATAAAAACTTTAATCAAATAGAATACAAAACTTTGAACATAATGTTGTTCCAATTCTGTACTTTAAAAGTTTTGTTCTGAAAAAGCATTTGATTTGAGTTGTTGCCTGATGACAACATCTATATGAATGTTGAAAGTGCTAGCAAAGGAATTAAAAGCTCTTTAATGCTGTTTTCTGTTGTTTTTTTCTCTCTCTCTCTCTCTCTCTCAAGTAGGTGTATTGGTGTGACCTCTAAACTGTTTTTACCATAATCCATGTCATGTAATCTGTTGCTAGCAGTTTGTTGAGATATAGGTCAGGTTTGTTGAAATACACTACAGGCATACCTCGACTTACGTCGTTTCGAGTTACGTCGTTCCCGATTATACGTCGCTTGTTAAAAAAGTATATGGAAAAATAAAAATCAAGTTTAAGTCATTTTATTCGACTTTACGTCTGTCCGCCACAAATATTGAAGTCGTAATATCACTAGAAAAACGTTTAAAGCACATAAAATCATATTAAAATATATACAAGTATGTACTGTATTTACAGTACATGCATTCGTAAATTTAGAATAGTTTTTTCTGTACTATATTAAAAGCTAAAATTTATTTGTTTGTAAGCTTAAAATAGATTTTTATTAACCATATATTATTAAAAATGCATTAATAAATAAAATACAGAACCGAGAATGGTAATTTATGGTTTAGCCTAGTGACAAGTAGATTCGGAGACAAGTAAATTCGACTTACGTCGTTTTTCGAGTTACGTCGTTCTCCTGGAACCAATTACCGACGTAAGGCGAGGTATACCTGTATTCATTCACTCCACAGTTCTGCAGCTTCCAAGAACATACCAAGTTAGTATTTAATGACAAGTTGATGCAAAATTCTATCTTTCCAGACAGTAGTTGTTGGTGATCTGCCATTACAACATTCAGGTGCAATAGAATCAGCTTCTTCATAGTGTCTGAGGAAGGTTCTGAAGGTAGACTTGTTCAAACAATTCCTGAATAATGTCATATAGCAGTTTCATTTTGTCATTTCTGCCTTGCCATTTTTTGCATTTTGAACAATGCAGAGGCTATAGAAGATTTTGTTTACGTCATTTGCATATTACCAACTGAGCAATATAGAAAGCAGCAAAAACTTTACTCTTTCATCTGAGCAACGTCTGGCAAATGCTGGATGTGTCTAAATTTACTGCTTCCAATTTTTTGGAGGAGCTTTTAGCATCTATGGAGCTGTCTGTTACAGTGATTGAGCCAATTTTTTTGTAAAACCATAGCTCAAGTAGAGTACTTTATTTATGAAATGACTTTTGTTTCAAAAGCAAATGAGTCCAGTACTCTTACCATTCATAACAAACAAATGGGGGTGTGCATATATTTATTGCCATGGGTAAGGTACTTCAATTCAGATGTCAGTCAATAAAAACATTTTGCTTATGAGTTTTTAGTAACTGAATTTGATATCTTATTTCCCTATTTTTAAGATATGATTTGTTTGGTGGTAGAATTTGTACTTAAATATTTAGTTGCAATATTTCTTTATTTGTATAAATTGTAGCATATTTTATTATTTTTTAAATGTTTGTAAATTTTTCGTCCGATGGAGATGATTTTTTAATAAAATTGAAGACAGTCTGCCCAAAAAGGACCACCATTTATTATTTCCGTGTTCCAGACAATACACATTCTTGGCAACAGACCTTTCCTTTTAGGCTACTTGTTGCCAGAAGTTTAAAAAGTCCTTTTAAAAAACACAAAATATATATCCAATTAAAATTACAAATAATTTCTAAAAAGGAACTGGTGACATTCAGACGTCTTTCTTGCATCCATCATACCTTCGTTTGGGGTGATATTGCTTTTATCTACTAAAAAGTAGCCTTGCATCATACCTTTTTGGGCAGACTGTCTTCAATTTTATTAAAAAATAATCTCCCTCGGACGAAAAATTTACAGATGAAAATCTACATGTATCATCACCAGGGGCAGCTTTCATTAAATCTACATATTCCAGTGCCTTCTTTTTAGTAGATAAAAGCAATATCACCCCAAACGAAGGTATGATGGATGCAAGAAAGACATCTGAATGTCACCAGTTCCTTTTTAGAAATTATTTGTAATTTTAATTGGATATATATATTGTTTTTTAAAAGGACTTTTTAAACTTCTGGCAACAAGTAGCCTAAAATGAAAGGTCTGTTGCCAAGAATGTGTATTGTCTGGAACACGGAAATAATAAATGGTGGTCCTTTTTGGGCAGACTGTCTTCAATTTTATTTTTTAAATGTTGTTAATAAATGCATATAATATATGCATTAAAGCCAAAAGTATTATTAAAAAAATTAATTAGTAAATATCTTTTTGTTTAATTGGCTGATATTAAGAGTAGTATATTAGTAAAATCATTATTTGTACTTTGTTAAAAATCACTAAGAAAAACTTTTTTTTTTTTTATTGCTTATTCAAAATTCATTTAAAAAAATAAATTATAATTAGTCACTTTATACTGTGTGTATATTTACTTTCTTCATAATATTCTTTTTATAGAAATTACTTACATATCATCCAGAGAAACGAGTGTCTGCGAGAGATGCTCTCAATCATCATTACTTTAAGGATGTCACTGTTCAGCCACCACCAATATAATGTGTTCCTCTCAAATTTAATTTATCAATATTACTTAAAAATATTGCAGAAAGTGTCATTTAAATTTAAGTTAACATTTTAAATTGAATTTACTTTTTAAATTTTATAGTAAAATATATTTTTTAATTCATTATTTAGCCAATTAGTTATGCATAAGTAAATAAATTCAAAAGATTAATTAGTCTCTATAAAAGGCTATATGCATAAGTTTTTATTACACAATTTTATATATCAGATAAACAATAACGTTTCTTGCTTGCAATGCAAATCCGAGGAAACCAGATATCCGGGAAAGATTTTTAACTTTGGAAAAATCTCTTTTGTGTTGCAAGCAAGTAATGTTACTGTTGATATGAAAATACTATTTTAATAATTATATTGAAATATTATTCATTGAGTTGAATTGAATTATGAATATGTTTAAAATAATTTTACTTATTTTTTTATTAATATGTAAGCATTTTTGATATTGAGAGGAATTAGTCTCAAACATTCCGACAAACTTTTCAATTACAGAAATCAAATGTCAGTTAATGCCATTCCCATGCCATATATATATTACTTATACTTGTTATATCTTAACTTAAATATCACATAATTTTGTATTTAGAATTTTTAATGTTCCAATAAGACTATTTTATGAATCATATTTAAGTTTTGTACAAATTTTCTTAATAAAAATATTTTATAAATTTGTTTTCATGAATTCATTTATTATGCGCATTTGAAGATAGTTAAATTTTGAGAACATCAGTTAAAAATTTATTACATTTAATGCATTTATTTGATATAAAAAATATGTTCAATGCTGAAAAACTTTGAAGTGAACTATCTTAGTAAAATAAGTAGTCATTTCTATGTAAACCCTTACAGAACTTCTAGTTGCATGAGTAAATAATACTTTTGTTTTACATAATTATTATTTTTATCCCCCAAATATACTTGAAAATATAATTACTATTATGCTGCTGATATTTTAAAATTACATCTTTCAAACCTATAACAAAGTTCTTATCATTGATTTTTCCTTAAATCAAATTATTACACCTATTATTATTATTATTAATCTATCTAAAATCTGTATTAATAATAATAGCAATAGAATAAATTAATTCTGCTTATAATTTTCCTTTATAAAATAACTTGCATAACTATTTAAAGACATTTTTATAGTCTTTTTTTCCTTAACTTGATAATATAAGTGAAATCAAGAATTTTAATTTGTTTTTGATAATAGATAAAACTTTATTTCCTAAAGTACCTTTATAACATTCCTTTATTGGTTTGCAAGATCTACAATGCTATTGATAAATGGGAAACAATTAGATCTATTTTGTTTTAGTAATCTATCACAGTCAAATCAAATAAAATTGAAAAAACGATCAGGACTTAGCAAAGATGCTGTTTTGAGGAGTGTAAATCTATCTTAGTCTTCACTGAACATAGTCCATCTCTTCTTTGTTTGCTGTAAAAAATGCTTTCAGAATAAAATTTTCACTCAGACAGAATTGTGTGATTACTGCAAAAATTTGCACAGGCTGTCTCAGACAGGAATGCAAATGATTGCAGTTGCACTTCAAGTGTATGCTGGGTTTTGCCTACAGTGCACCTTTGAGCTATCTAATTATGGTATAAAAAGGTTTCAGTATTTTGAGGTTCTCAAACATCAACTAAGCCTCTGTCATTCATTCAGAGATAATACAAATAACTGAGTTTGACATGCTTCCCAAAGATAATGATGCTTAGTATTTTGCTAAATTGACAGCCATCCTGAACAATTACACTTCAGTATGAGATTATAGCAGCAGTGGCTGCAGAAAGGACATGTTTGCTGGAAATGGTCTGGTTACCTTCTTTATAATAATTAAATAAACTCTAGAAAATAGCTAAATTCGAGATGAAACAATCCAGATTTATATCGCTTATCTAATTGCTTAAATCTCAAATCTAGGGACAAACAAAACAAAGTAGAATTATTTTTCTCATTTCATCTAAAGTGATAATCCTGCCCAACGCATGGTATATAGGCATCAATGTTTTGACTTAAAGTAAAATGGCAGTCGATAGTACCCATCCTTGCCATCAAGAACGCTGTATTTAAGGTCATAGAAACTCTAGTATAGGTTATTCTATATTCTAGCTCCTTGGTTCCTGTAGCTAGATGCTTGTGCAGATTGCCATCTGTACGATAATTATCGTATTTGTACGACTATTTCAGACACCTTGCGATGTACCATAATAGGGTTTTTATATGGTAATTTCAAAAATACACCTTACTCCGGAAACAAACGTTAATTATACAAAAAATCCAATTCCCAATCACCATTTTTATACGTATCGCTGCCTTATTGTATAATTTCGTGTCTTTTTATACGCTATAGTTCTACTAAGTTTTCCAAAATTTTTACTTAAGCTGCGCTCTTAAAATCGAACGAGTTAATGAACTTATTACTGGTGTTCGATGGTTTCATCCACTTCGTGATTCATGGTGTTTTTCTTGGGATTATTATGTTTGTAAGTGTAGTGCCATATACATTTGGATACGGCAAGTCATAAGGATTACAGTGAGGTCAAAATTTTCTTTGTGGGACCAATATTTGGGAAATTACGGCTTTTGATATTTCGAGAAACTTCGTTTTACCGGACTTTTGAAGATTGATCAACCGGGATTCGGGTTCTAACTGAGTAAAACATTAAAATTTTAGGGCTATATGCCCATTAATCTGAGATTTTGGAGGTTTTAGTTGTACTTCAGTTCAGCTTTCAACGGGCCTTCCCAGGCCTCCGGTGTTTTATTGCAGAAAATCCTTAGATCATCGTCAGGTAATCTTTCAGTAATTTTCCTGCCAATTTTGAGACATCGTAATTTAAAAACTAATTAAGATATAAGTTCAACGTCTGGAGCTGGTGGCTGCTGTCTTGTCTGGACAGTTCTAACGGACACTTGCTTACTGTTTGACCTAGTTTTTAAAATTTTACTACAATATTTACATTGCGAATACGTTTGTTTTGTCTGCATTCCTAATTTACAAACTTCATAGCTAGTTGTTCTAAGTTCGCCAAATGGCGGCAAACCTTGTAGAGGACTTTTTGGAAGAGGTCTCTAGGCCTACAGTTTTAGATGAAATTAAGGGATACTTCGCAGAAAACCCAAGGTCTGGTTGGGCACGTGTGATCACTTGCGATATGTTACAAATCTCGCTGAGACTACCATCAAGAGTAATAGATTACGTGAAGTATTAGAAATATAAACAATGGTGGAGTGGCAGTTAAGGTGATGGATATGGCGGACATGGGAAATATTCAGGATGTTGCTTATAACGTTCCAGGTTTAACTGCTGAGTGTACAAAGAAGCGACTTCCACTTCTAAAAATAAGTTCTGTAAGTACCTAAGACTATTGACAAGGGCCGTGGTCACTCTGCGTTTCTGCTACTACGGGAGTGCGCTGCTGTTTGTAGACTTTAGGAACGAGGTGAAAGAAAGAAAGATGGCGGTGCCCATACTATAGATAGTATCCTAACAAAGTGTTCTACGATTTTAAAATACGTGTTTTTAAAGACAAAAGAAGGGACTTTTATTTTTTGTTTTTCTAGCTAACAATGATGTCTAGTCTGTTCCTATGGATAACTTAGGTTATCAGGGACTTTTGCGGCAAATGGATACAAGGGTTGGTTTGTTTGTTTGTTTTTATTTATTTTGTATTCTTGCTGCTGTAGTGGCATTTCGTATTGCCGCAAGAAATCGCCAAGTCTTCTGCTTGTAATTGTTTTATTGTTGTTTTCTGTATTTTAGTAAGTTCGATTTGTAACGTATACAGTCTTTTTATAACATTTTCATTTTCGGGGTTATCAATGCAATAGATATATCTACAGTTGTAATACAGTAGACCTCCCTATAACGCGGGTTCCTATAACGGAGATTCCTTTAACGCGGCGAAAAAATTGCGACAATATTCGTATAAAGACGCTAAAAGGGACGCGTAAAACGCAGTAAAACGTCATCGCCAACTCGTTATCGCGGACGAGCAGCCGAACTACTTTCCGCCGTCCAGCGCCACGCTACGGAGAGTTTAGGCGGGTAAATTGAGTTTACTATCGTCTGATTATATATTAACTTAATTTATTTTAACTTTATTATAATTATATATATACTTTCCGCCGTCCAGCGTCACGCTACGGAGAGTTTAGGCGAGTAAGTTGAATTTACTATCGTCTGTACAGTATGTAAATTACCGTAAGTCTAATACAGCACTGTAATTTTATACATGTGAAAGAAACATTTCTTATTCAACGACCATAAAAATTATTTATATTAATGATGTCTCCAAAGTTCAACGAATTTTTCGCAGAAAAATAACATCAGAAATCGCGGCCGCCGTTTGGTGCTCTGCTCCGCGACGAAAACAAGCTTAAGCAATGGCGACGTCGAACGTTGCACACTCGGTAAGTAATCCTACGATTTTTTGTTTATAGCATAGTTTATACGGATTATTCCCAAAAAAATTACGTGTTTTGGAAATGTTAAGTCGAATTAGTCTAGAATCGATTAATTTCATGGAAGAAAAGCTTTCAAACAGCCGTAATCCCTAAACTTCACACGTGTCGGGCTGCGATTGGCTCGTGTATTTAAGGATTCCTACAAGGATCGTAGGAATCCTTATTTGTAGGAATCCTACAAGGATTCCTACAAATACGAGGAACGTATCTACGCATTATAGGGGGTCTACTGTAAGTGTATTCGGATGTTCGATAGTGCGAATGCGGAATCGAACAGATTTTTAGAGATTAATAAAATAATGAAATGAAATGTATCATTTCACCTGTTAATCCACAATTTAAACACGAGTAGATTTAGAAACATCGATATCGCCGATCGCCATTTTTTTAATGAAGTAAACGAACTCTCTCATTTGTGAATTTCGTGAGTTTCGTTTGAAACGTCACCAACATCGAGCATGAGCTTGAGTGGAATTTTTACTTCATGACGGACTCTTTAGTAACGCGTTTAACTTGTTCGATTTTACGAACGTATCCTTAGATTGGTTACTACTATATATTCTCAATTATAAGGCACACCTTTTTCATACTTTTCTGGACTGCTAACTGCTATACTGTAGTACTTTTTAGACCGATTAATAAAGGCCTCAAAAATTTGAAAAAAACTAGGGTTTATGCATACGAAATTAGCACTGTTTATAAAGAATGCGTTACATATTTGTTAATGTTTGATGTGTTGAAATTGTTTGAAGAAGCGTAGATCTTAGATTATGCCCATTCAAAATATGTTTTACACCAGAGTATATTCGTACAGTACGTACAACTGGACATAAAATGTGTAATGGGAATTTCGAATTGTGCAGTGGGAATCTCATATTTGTGCAGTAATTAATTGTCCGATTCTAAATTTTATAACTACAGTAGAGCGTCGATTTTCCGAATCAATTGGGGACTGGGGTTGTCCGGATAACTGATATTTCGGATAACTGATATTTCGGATAACTGATTTACGTACGAAAAAATAGTTAACGTATCCGATTTCGAAATTTTTCTCCGTTGCGTGTCGCTTCGCGTTGAATTTTCGTCGATGTTAACCTAACGAAGACTATTGAATTGTTAAAAATTATTTTTTTATTTTGTACGAACAAAGTAAATA